CCATTTTCGATTACCCACCCAGATTTTCTTAAAGGTACTTTTTATTTGAAAGCTGTCATCGCCCTTTACCTTCAAAAGTAATTAATCATTTTAAATATGATTAATTGCCCTCCTTAATTACCGATGACCTTCTTCAGTAGGTGTAGTTCGGCGGCATAATTAAATAAAAAAAGGTATCAAAAGGAGTGAATTTCTGGAGGTGAGCGATTTGGGTTGAAACAAAACAAATAATGATGATTAATGGGCTTAAAACACCTTTAATCCCATAGGATTGTCGGCAAAATCAAAAGAAAATACCCCCTATAGGCTCAGGTTTGATGTGACAGTTCATCAAATGGGGTGAGCGATTTGGGTATGTGGAGCGATTGGGGACTAGTTAACTACTATTCCTTATTCTGATTTAATTGTATTTCACTTACATTATAAAATCAGAATTTTTTGTATTTTACTAAATCAGAATAATTTATAATTCTGATTAATTACAATTCCTCTATATTTCTAAAATATTTTCAGAATCAGAATTATTTGTATTTTCCTTTAATTAATTTCAGAAAAATTAATTAATTAATTTTTATCTATTAATAAAATCAGAATTTTATTAATTTCTTTTCACTTTCTCCCTCACCAACCAAGATTCTTTTTACTTAATTTTTTGATTTTTATCTATTTTATAAAAGTTCAATTTTAATATTTTTAAGAGAAAGTGCTTCCAAAAAAATATATTTATCGGTCTCTAAAAATCTCCCGCATCTCCTCCCAACACTTTTATTATTTATTTTATTTGCTTGTTGAATCAAGCGTTGAATTGAAAAAATAATTTTTAAAATCTGGGTCAAAATTTTATTGCCACTCACATCCCTCAATTTATTTAATTCTGCCTTCTAATCTTGAATTTATTCAATTTTTATTTGCTTTTAATTTTGTATTTTTATTGAGTCAAAAACACAATTTTAAATATCAGAATTATTTTAGTTAAGTATATTTTTTGTATTTTTTGTATTTTCTCTTAAATCAGAATTATTTTAAATGTGTTTTATCAGAATTTAAATAGCATAATTAAATTATTTCTGATTCTGTATTTTACTTTTTAAATCAGAATTTCTTTTTATTTTAAAAAGTCAGAATTAGTATTTCTGATTTTGTATTTTCTCTTAAATCAGAATTTTTCTCATTTCATTGTATTTTATTTGTATTTCAGAATTAATATTAATTCTCAGACTTAATAAAATCAGAATTAATAATCAGAATTTTTATTCAGAATTAATAATCAGAATTAATATTAATTCTGATTTTGTATTTTCAGAATTAATATTAATTCCCAGAATTAATAAAATCAGAATTAATTATCAGAATTAATATTAATTCTGATTTTGTATTTTTCTTTTTTAAATCAGAATTAATTTTCTTTTAACAAATCAGAATTTGTATTTCTGATATTGTATTTTATTCTAATCAGAATCAGAATTCATTGTCTTTTAAATGTATTTTATAGATTTATTCAAATCAGAATTACTCTGTTTCTGATTTTGTATTTTTCCTTTTAAATCAGAATTAATTTAAATGTATTTTATATTATTTTTGGGGGCATAATTAATTTATTTATTTAAATTTTTTTAAATAAGACTTAAAAATAAATTTAAAAAAATGTAAAAACTAGAAATTAATTTTAAAAACAAAATTTATCAAAAATATTTTTTTCTAAAAATTTTAGTGTTCCCCCAAATATTTTTTGATATATGCATTTATTATTAAGTATTTTATGAGTAAAAACAACAACCAAAAAACTCATCTCCACTCATATTTTTAGTCGCATTTTTGCATGGATAAATGCAAATGAAGCAGAAAATTAAAAAGCAAACAAGTAGCGAAAAATCAAACATCGTTTTTAAATGTTATTTTTTAAATTAAATAAATTGAATTTATTTTTAAAAAATTCTGAATTTTTTAAAAATCAGAATTTTCTTTAATTATTTTAAAATAGAAATCAGAATTATTTTATTTAAATGTGTTTTTTTTGTGTTTTATTAAATCAAAATAAAATCAGAATTTTTTATTTAGAAAATAATATCAGAATTATTTTTAAATGTGTTTTTCTTTAAATCAGAATAAAATCAGAATTTCTTTTTATTCCGAAACCAAGCTATATTACCTAAATGTGTTTTTTTGTGTTTTTACTCAAATCAGAATAAATTATTAGAATTTTCTCTAATCTACTGAGAAAATAAAATCAGAATTATTTTATAAATGTGTTTTTTCTTAAATCAGAATAAATTTTCAGAATTTTTTTATTATTTAACAAATATCAGAATTAAACGATTCTGATTTTATTTTCTGGTTTTATTTTCCATGTAATAAAGAAAATTCTGATTTTATTCAGATTAAAGGAAAAACACAGAAAACACTTTTAACTATCGTTATTCTGTTTTATTTCCCTAATAGTTAAAAAAAATTCTGATTTTAATTTTCAGAATTTTTTAAAAATAAATTTAGTTCATTATCTGTGTGTTTCTTCTTAAAATAATTAAAAAATACAAAAATCAGAATTTTAAAAATATTAAATAAAGAATGATTCACCTTGTTATTTCTCTCACTTTTATTGTTATTTTCACTTTTTTCTCTCATAATAAAAAAAATTATTTATTTATCATAACAATAAAATTTTATGTCACATTCTTTTGTTATATTTACGTAAAAATATTATTTTTCACGCATTTTTGTATTTTTATTTTTTATTTATCTTCAATAAATTTGCAGACATTTTATGGATGATTGGACAGATTTATTTATCTTCCAATTAAATAAAAAAATATTTATATTTTCACATGCATCAAATCAGTTATTTTCCTTCCAAGGCCAAAAATATGTATGAAAAAAAATAAATTCTGATTTATTAAAAATAATTTTCTTTGTTTATTATTTGTGTTTTTATTTTTTGTATTTATCAGAATTGTATTTTTATTTTTTTTAGAAAATCAGAATTTTATTTTTTATTCGATCAGAAATTTCTGGGAAGGATCAGAATTTTTTGGTTATTTTGTGTTTTAGTGTATTTTTGCAAAATCAGAATATTTTTATTTTAAATCAGAATATTTATTAAATCAGAATATTTATTTAACTTTTTTTTCTGTCTTTGCCTAATCAGAATTTTATTTTTAGTCAATCAGAATTTTTTGGAAAGGATCAGAATTTTTGGTTACTATTTGTGTGTATCTTTGCAAAATCAGAATATTTTTATTTTAAATCAGAATATTTATTAAACTTTTTTTCTGTCTTTGCCTAATCAGAATTTTATTTTTAATAAATCAGAATTTGTTTTCTTTTTTGTCCAGTTATTTTTATTCATTTTTCTAATCTTTTTTCCTTAATTGTCATTAAAAGCATAAATAGAGGATTTCCGGAAGTATTTAATTGAAAATGCCTCTCTCTTTTTGTTTAAAATTAATTAAATGAGTCACGCTATTTAATTTAAAAAAATTTTTTCTCCAAGTTCGAATGTTCAAAAAATTATTTTTTTAATTTATTATCAGCTGGATCTCGTTATAAATAACCCTGGATATACTCCAATTAAAGAGACATTTTTAAAAATTTGAATTGTCACAGGGTGTCAAATTGAGATCTGACTTTATTCATTATTTTAAATTAAACGTTCAAAATTTATTTTAAAAATAAAAGTGGGGAATTAAACTGTCAATCACTGCCCTTATATTTCAAAAATTTCAAAGAGATTATTTTTAAAAAAATTTTTCTTTTATTTTTTCTTTTGTTTACTTACCTATACCTTTTTTCATTTAGCAATTTTTAGCACTATAAAAAAGGAGAAAAAGAGAGAGATTTGGGTATAGATTCCCTAAAGAGACCGGCAATTTTTAAATCCACCCCTTCTCTCCCCTCTCCCTCCCCTCCATTCCTCCCCCTCCCTTCCCCTTCTTTCCCTTCCTCCCCCTCCATTTTCCCCCTATATCCCCCTTCTCCCATCAAATGGTCACACGTAATAAAAACACAAACATACACAAAAACAAACAGAAAATACAGAAAAAAACACAGAAAATAAATATAAAATGCCAAAAATCTCATTCATCAAAGAGAAACCCTCTCCCCTTTTTTTTAATTTTTTTGTTTGATTTTTGAGTTGCGGAAGAAAAAAAAAGAAAAAAAAATTAAAAATTTGAAGAGAATAAAAATATTTCTCTTATAAAATAAACTCTCTTTTTCCTCTTTAAATTAAAAAAATTTTTCAGAAAAAGTTGCTTTTTTAATTTTAATATTAATATTTTATTGAATATGCGTAAATTTAAATAAATAATGTTGCATTTTAATTTAAATGTAAATTATATTTGGAAAATACCAGAAATTAAAATCAGAAAATATAAACAGAATATTCCCAATTAATTGTTACGTCAGAATTATTAAATTCTGATTCTCCATATTATAGAAAAACCAGAATAAATAAGAAGAGAATAACTCTCAACTTAATAATTTATTAAATCAGAACTATGTATTTTCCTAATAAACCAGAACTTTGTATTTTTTTAAGTTAAATCAGAATTTAATTTTTATAAATCAGAAATAAATCAGAATTTATATTTTTTCTGTAATCAGAATTTTGTATTTTTTTGTTAAATCAGAATTTAATTTTTATAAATCAGAATTTACTTCTTAAATTAAATCAGAATTATTTTTAAAACAGCATTTTTAATCAAATCAAATCAGAATTTTGTTATTTTATCAAATCAGAACTTTGTATTTTTACATTAAATCAGAATTTTATATGTATTTATGAAACCAGAATTTGTATTTTTAAAATCAGAATCTATTAATATTTTGTATTTTTTATCAGAATTTTGTATTTTTATTTTTCTGAAAAATCAGAATTTTGTTATTTTATTTTTTATAATTCTGATCTGAAAGGTTTAATATATCAGAATATCAAAAATACAAATACCAGAAAAAATAAAAAATAGATTTTTTAATTTTTAAGAACAAACACAAAACCCAAACAACTTTTCACGGCAAACCGCGTCTTTTAACGCTGTTAGCCCTTCCCTCAACAAAATGGCAGCAATACAACAAAATACAGAAAATTCCTCATCTCGTCCTGTTTCAGCTGTGGATAATCAAATTAATAAAAATACAAATTCCCCAACTCCAGTTATTGAAAGAAGGATAGCTACAGATGGACTTAGACGTAAATTTAGTCTTTCAGATTCCTCTCAGGCAACGCTAAGTGAAAGATGCGTTGTGGTGGCTAGGTGAATAAATTCTTTAATCTCTCTAAATGACCAAAAAAAATTTATTCCTATAGGCAGTCTGACGGTTTTGGCCTAACCGTAAGTGGGGAACACCCCCTTACTGTAGCTACACTAAAGCCTTATGGAGCTGCACAATTGGCAGGTGTCCGTGAGGGTGACAGAATATTAAAGGTTAACGGAATGCTAGTCAGTTGTTCCAACTTCCAAGAAGTTATCAAAATGATATCTGGTAATTCATCAATTCTTAATAAAATCAAAATAATCTATAAGAGGCAAAAAAAATTTTTCCGAAACTTACATGTAAAAGATTCTTCAATTGTGACATTTTGTCGCGCCATTAGGATTGAGACATTTTGTCGTTTTTTATATTTTTTTGAAATTCTGATTTATACATATAAAATTGAAAATACAAATTCTGAAACACATGAAACACAAACAAAAATAAATACATAATTCTGATTTTACACACAATGAAAATACAAATAATTCTGATTAAAAAATACAAAATTCTGATTTTAAATGAAAAAATACATTTCAACAGAATAAAAAATTCTGAAAAATTCTGATTTTACATAAAAAATACGAATAATTCTGATTAAAAATACAAAATTCTGATTTTCATCAGAAATAAAAATTCTGATTTATACACAATGAAAATACAAATAATTCTGATTAAAAAATACAAAATTCTGATTTTGAACTGAAATGAAAAATTCTGATTTTACACAAAATGAAAATACAAATAATTCTGATTAAAAATACAAATTCTGATTTCTAATAATACAAATATTTATCTAGGCGGCTACAATTTAGTATTAACACTTTTGGGGCCAGCACGTACCCACAGTGTTTCTTCCTGGGATGATGAATTGTTTCCGGCAATTCAAAAACCAAAGGAAATAAATAATAACAACAAAAACAATGGAATATTAATACAACAAACACCTAATCCGGAACAAATGATGTTAAGTCTGGAATGGCAACGAGAACGGAGGGACGAACTTTTTCGAATGTTAAACAAAGAAAGGGCTAATCTTGAGGTGAAAATTATACATAAATACCTAAAAGGGATAAAATTCTGACATGTATAATTTTGGAAAAAAATTTCCGAAAATATTTTTGATGAAATCATTTCTGGAAAAAATTTTGAAAAAAAATTCTGAAAAAAAATTCTGAAAAAAAATTTCTGAAAATAAATTCTGTAAAAAATTCTGAAAAAAAATTCTGTAAAAAATTCTGAAAAAAAAATTCTGAAAAAAATTCTGAAAATAAATTCTGAAAAAAAATTCTGAAAAAAAATGATTTAACAATAACTCGTTTAATTTTACCATTTATTTATTGTGTTTTCCTCCAAAATTTTTTTCTAATTTTTTACCATTTAAAATCAAGCAAAAAATATTTTCATGTTGGACACATTTCTCCCGTGGGATTTTTTCCTTTTTTATTTTTCTTTAAAGTTCAATTTCTTTTTTGCTGTGCTTTTTTGGTTAAATTCCCAAAAGAATGACAAAATATTATATTGTTTTTAAATAAAAATATAAATCCATCTTATAATGCAAATCAAAGAAAAAAGTCAATGGGATTTTTAAAAGGTCTTTTTGGGTTGTAGAAAAAAGTTTATTTTATTTTAATAAGCTTTTACACCAAGTTTTGAGGCAAGCAAAAGCGAGAAGAACAATGCGAACCAACTTTACGCTAAATTCTCTAACTTTTGAATGGTCAAACTTTTTTAAGCAAATTTGGTATCATTCGATAGAGAATTAAATTTCCTACAAAATAATATTTATTTAAATATTTTATGTTGCTAGGTTAAAAAGTTGTGGTTAAAATCCTCCTTTAATTGGTATTTTTTCTTAATAATTTTATTAAAAATTTTTTTTTTAAATTCATTTTCTTCTTTTTAAATATAAATTTAATTTTATATTGTAGAAAATTTAATTCTCTTTAAAATAGTACCAAATTTAGTCCATAAAGATTTATTTTTCGATTAGTTACGGTTGTTTACTTGGAACTGTTCTAACGCTTCTTCAGACCCTTCCCCCTTTCTTTGAAAAAAAAATTTTTTCTTAAATTTTTCTTTGAATTTTTTAGTCTTTACAAGTCTGTGCTGGAATTGCAGACTTAAACCAACCACAACAGCAGCAAATCGAATTTGGTGGGGGTTCAAAATTAGAAAGAGCCCTCTGCAGAATTAACGAGCTGGAGAAACAACTGAATATTCTTTCCCTGCTTAATGGTAATTAATTAATTTTAAAAAATTTCTAATCAAGCTTGAAGACTAATTAATTAAAATTAAATAATATTTTTGACTAATTAAATTCCAAATAATTTTTTGTAGCAGTCACAAACGGCAAAAAACGGCCACTAAATAGGAATGACAAGAAGCGAGGCTCTATTGAGAGTAATGAGACTGAAAAACAGGTTGGAAAATAATTTTATAACCTCAAAAATTATTTAAATTTAAAAATAATTCAGTAATGAAAAAAATATTAAAGTCATTCATAATTCAGTTCTCGTTTATATCAAAACTTTTGGCACGCATTCAATATCCTTCAATTTGACTCTAACTATTTTTAATCGAGTCTAACACCTTCGATATGCCCCAATCAGTGCTTTCCTGTCCCAAAGAACGAACCATTCCTTGGTTATTCTTTCCCGCTTAATCCTGTACATCGCTGGCACGTCTAAGTCTATAGTCTCCTGTCAGTCTCAACCACTATACGGTTGCAAGATCAATTCCTGTTACTATTAAGGCTCTGGGCAGTCATGCCCCTGTTCAAAGACCGAGGAAAATTGTAAAATTTTGGAAACGCCCAAAACTGAAACCTCTGAACCATTCAATTACGGATCCAAAAACATCACTGGCACTTAATTAAATTTTTAAACTCAATCCCCCAAAAAAAATATTTTTCTTAAATTGCAACAATTTTATATAAATTAAAAATGCCCATCTTTTTTTCCTTGTTTATTTATTTAATCCATCACGCAATTCTTTTTTTTTCGTGGCAATTTTCTTCCTTTTTTCCTATGCTTTTCTACATTAAATTAACAAAAAAAGGAAGGAAGCATTTCATTGTAATAAAGAAAATAAAAAAGAAAGAAATTAAACCAATGCGGGGAATTTTGGCTGTAAATTAATGCCGAAATAAAGAGAAAAGAAGAAGAAAAAGGTTTATTGGAATGTGGATTGTTTAGAAGAAAAAATTTTTAGTCTAAAATACAAAAAAATCTATTTTAAAACACATAAATTTTGGCAGATATGCAAGAACAGTTTAAAAATCGTTAAAACGCCAAAATTAAAAAAATAAACAGAACGCCAAAAATTTAAAAAATAATTTAATATATTAGATTGAGGTTCTTAATTATGTATACTACACCCCTACCTAGTAGTAAACTTTAAATATTTCTCAAAATGTACCGTATTTCTTCTAATAGTGCGACCGGTCGGTTTATTTTTCAACTATCCTCTAGAGTGTCGGTTTATTAGAAGGGGTCGGTCTAATAGAGACTGTCGCACTATTAGAAAAAATACGGTATATTAAATCAAGATATATCCAGTAAATAGCGGGCTGTAAGCGTTGTACGAAAATCGATATCACGAAATTCTTGTCTCTAGTTAAGATCCATTATTGAATGATCTTGAATCATGATCAAGTCTATTTTGTTTCAAAACGTCAAAAACACGATAATTTTTTATACTAAACCAAAAATATAGAAATTAGAACAAACCCCACAATATTCACGTTAACGTGAGAAATAAAATAATAAAAAAAATAAAAATTTATATTTATATCATTTATTATAAATTTTACGCTCCTTTGATCTCTCTTAAAATGCACTTCTCTCGATTGCGATTTATTTAGTTTTAATTGCGCAAATGTAAAAAAACTATTAAATGAGTTTAAGTTAATTGATTCTAAATTGATTATATTTTCTTGTTTTATTTATTTTCTTTGTTTTTATTAGAAGTTTATGAATCAAAACAAAATAAACTTCCCGGAAAACAATGAAAATTGTAAAAATATAGTTTTTCCTTAATAAAAGAGAAAAACATGCTTGAGAAGAATTTTTGGAAACATCTTTATTTAATTGTTTTTGGGTGTTTTTATTAGTTGTTTTTACAATTTTGAATGTTTACCGGAAAATGTTTTTACAATTTTCATTGTTCTCCGGAAATGTTTTTACAATTTTCATTGTTTTACGAAATGTTTTTGAGTTTTACATGATTTTCTCTCAAAAACAAAAAACACTCAAAAATCAGACCTGTTTCCATGCCAAAAACATTAAATATAATTTTATTTTTAATGTTTTTAAAGACTCTTATTCAGCTAAATCTTGATGTAAACAACAAAAAATCCTTTCCTTTTTTAATATTGCTATATTTGTAAAAAGCCCAAGCTTTATTTTTTAAATAAATTTTTAAGTCAATAACAACATAAATATATTTATCTCCATTTTTTGCTTTTCCTTAACTTTATTTATATACCCCGATAATTGGCATTTTGTCTGCCAAAAAATTTTTTAGCTGGCCATTGGGCGACTTTTGAGAGGAAAAAAAAGATTTTAACTGAAAATAGAAAAATTTTTTTATTTAGTCTTGGGCATTAAACCTTCCTCCTCTTTTATATTTTTTTGAATTTATTTAAAAATAAAACATTTTCCGGAAAACATTCAAAGTTGTAAAAAACATTGTTTTTTGACAAACAAAAGAAAAGACTTTGTCGGGAGAGTTTTTCTGAAGACTCTCTTCCGGAAACATTTTTAGTCTGTTTTTAAATGAACGTTTTGAATGGAGGGAAAATCTTCTTTTTTTATATCACTCTATTTTTAAATTTTTAACTAAATTTTAAAATAAAAATTAAATTATTTAATTTTTCAAAAATTAATTTTTGTATATTAAGTAAAACGAAAAATTAATTTTATTATTTATTCTATTGTTTCTTTTATTTTTAAAATGCGAACTGGGAAAATTGTAAAATTAATTCTATAAAATAAATTTAATGAATGAGAAATATTTTTTCTTAGAAATTAAAAAACACAAAAAATTATTTTTTTATTTTCCCATTTTCTAGAGCAGCAAAACTTTCCCTCCAACATCAATGAGAACAACAAATAACAGTTCTGTGCCTTTACGTGCAGCTGATGCTGCTGTTGGGAGGGTAGAACCTATTCGAAGTTGGATAGAGACTGGGGGAATGCATTATGTTCAGGCAGATGTTTTGCCCATTGGGGATGAGGAGGAGGAAGAGGAAGAAGATGGAGGGGAGGGAAGTGAGGGTGATAATGAAGATATGGTTAGTTTTGATTTTATGAAAATAAAAAAATGAGAGTAAAACATTTAAAAATCAGAATAAAATCAGAAAAACATTTAAAAATCAGAATAAAATCAGAAAAACATTTAAAAATCAGAATAAAATCAGAAAAACATTTAAAAATCAGAATAAAATTAGAAAAGAATTTAAAAATCAGATAAAATCAGAAAAACATTTAAAAATCAGAATAAAATCAGAAAAACATTAAAAAATCAGAATAAAATTAGAAAAGAATTTAAAAATCAGATAAAATCAGAAAAACATTTAAAAATCAGAATAAAATCAGAAAAACATTAAAAAATCAGAATAAAATTAGAAAAGAATTTAAAAATCAGAATAAAATCAGAAAAACCTTTAAAAATCAGAATAAAATCAGAAAAACATTTAAAAATCAGAATAAAATCAGAAAAACATATGAACAACTTAAAATAATATCCAAACATTATCAGAATAAATATCAGAATTATTTTAATATTTCAGGAAACAGCTGGTCCCTTTACAAATTTACAAGATTTAAAGACCAGACCTGCTCATTTGACAGTTTTCTTTACTTATTTGTTAAATAATGCAAATCCTAGCAGCCTTGTAAGAATTTTTAAAAAATTTTAAAATAATTTTTTTCAGCTTTTTTACCTTATTACCGATGTCTTTCCTTCTTCCAATGTTAAAGATATGCGTAGATTTGCTTATGAATTATTCTCTACTTTTCTTATTCCTGGTGCCCCTTTGCAATTGCCTAATATATCCCAACATGATATTCAGGTATTTTAAGATGTTTGATATTGTAAAAACATGTTTATTTTGCAAACAAACATGTTTTGTTTTAATTTAAACATTCCGGAAAACATTCCAAACTTCACTCCAACAAATTCTTTTAAAAACATTGCGGAAAATGTTGGAATCTTACAATTTGGACATTTAAATTACAAAATGTTAGGGCAACAACATTTTGTTTCAAATAAACATGTTTTGTTTCAAACGAACATGTTTATTTTGCAAACAAACATGTTTTGTTTCAATCTAAACAAACACTTCTGGAGCTCAGGAAAAATTTTTTGCTTTATTTGCCTTTCTTTTTTCCTCTGGAATTTTAATTTAAAAAATTTTTTTAATATCCAAGGCTATTGACAAAATCTTAATAAAAATGTCTTCAACACCTTCAACCTCTACTCAACAACAAGATATTGAACAATTACGTAAACTTTTTATACCAACAAGAACTAAAGCTGTTGGACAAATTAACGAACAATTATCCTTATTCAGACGGAAAAAACATTTAGGTAGAAAATTTTTGAAAAAAGGATTTTTTGTCAAAAAAATTTCTAAAAATTATTTTTATTCTTGCTCAGATCCAAATTTTGTCGAGGAATATTCACAACTTGAATCTTTAGCTCGTGCTGATCATTCTGCAGAGTTGCGATTATCAGAACGAATTTTGTTTAGAACACTTTCTCATTTAATGCATCTGGCTAATCCTATTGGTTCTTATTATTTTCTTTCAAAATTAATTTAGTGTTTTCCAGGTCCTCCGGAATTTGGAAATTGCGAAAGAAAAACGCTAGCTTTGATTATATCTGTTGCTACACTTATAAAAGTAAATTTACTATCTTTACCGGAAACTTTTTTCGGAAAATTTGTTTTATTCTCCCTTTCTGACAAAAATAAAATATGAACTGCTTAAAAATTCATGAAAACCTTTCCGTAAACTACCAAAAACAACCATGTTTCTTTAGCTTATTGAGTTTTTATAATTTTTAGGTTGTTATGGGACTCAGGACTAATCATTCAAATTGGGAGGTAAACATCATTCACTTCAAAATAATTTTAAATTATTAAATTAAATTGTAGAAACTTCTGGATAAGTGTCCTACATTTTTAAGTCAATTACCTAAAACTGGAGGAACTTCAATGTTTAAAATGTTGGGGAGTGGAGGCGGTACTTCAATCAAACAAAAATTACAACTTAAAGAACACCAAGTTTGTAAAACATTTTATTTGTGAATTAATTGTTGAATCTAAACCCTTGTTTTATAAGTTTGATAAAAAACATTTGTAAAACATGTTTTAATGGATAGTTAAATAATAAATGTTTGTAAAACATGTTTCTTAAGAAATAATTAAAACAAAACAAAGTTTGTAAGACATGTTTTACAAAGTTTGTAAAAACATGTTTTAAAGGATAAGTTAAACAATCCAAGTTTGTGAAACATGTTTCTTGAAAATAATTTAAATAAAACAGTTTGTAAAACATGTTTTAAAAAGTTTGTAAAAACATGTTTTAATAAAATAATTAAAAAACAAAGTTTACAAACATGTTTTTAAAGAAACATTTAAATAAAACAAGTTTGTAAAACATGTTTTTAAGCTTAACATTAATCAATAGTATCGGACTATAAAACAAACATATTTTAAATCAAACAAATTTAAAATTTTTTAGTTTATTCTACAACAAGTTTTTGTCACTGTCCATTGTTACCAATGTCGTGAAGCTGTTTGGGGTGTAAATCCTCAGGCCTATTTTTGTCAGAGTAAGTTTACTAAATACAATTTATTTTTTTAATAAAAGGGTGGTAAATAAAAATACTTTTAATATTATTTTATAAATTTTTTTATGTTTGTACATAATCATTTAAAACAAAGTCTGTACAAACAAATAAAAAAAAAATAAGATGCGTGCAGAAAAATGTTATGGCTCTCCCATTTTATGTGAATAATTTGTCTCTAGGGAATATATAACAGCTTAAAAATCTTGGCTTTTTCTTTTGTTTTACTCTCCCTTGCCCCCGCAATTCATCATTCTTCTTATTCATATTGAGAGAATGGAAATATTTCTATATCATAAAAGAAGCTTTAAACTTTTTTAAAATATTTATAAGTTAAAAACTTTTGTTTGTAGACTGTGTGGTTTTATAATCTTTGTTTTATAGTTTTGTTTTGATTTTAGGCTTGCAAACTTAAAAATCTGTGTTTTTATGTTTTTGGATATTTTTTAAGAATTTTGTTCTGTAAACATTTTAGCATTTAGTTTTCACAAACTTTGTTTTAAAATGCAAAACTTTTTTTAAAATCTTTAATATTTGTTTTTAATCTATTCAAGTTTGTGTTTTAAATGTTTAGTTACAAACTTAATAATCTGTTTTAGCAAATGTTTTTACAAACTTGTTTTCTCTAACCTTTACAAACTAGAAATGTTTGTTTTAATATTCCAAAAAGTAAAACAAACATTCAAAACAAAAATTAAAACAAACAAACATTTAAACAAACAAACGTTTAAAACAATCATACTAAACAAGCAAACATTTGAGCAAATAAACATTTAAAACAAACAAACTAAAACAAACATTTATAAAAACATTTAACCCAGCCATTTAAACAAACACACAAAACATTTAAAACAAGCAAACATTTAAGCAAACAAACAAAACAAACATTTAAAACAAACTAAAACAAACAAAACATAAACATTCCCAACTTTCTCATTTCCAGATTGTGACGTTGTTGTGCACAAAAACTGCACTTCTCAACTTGTAAGTATTCAATGTTTTTTATAAACCAACAATTTATTTAACAAACATTTTTACAAATTAAATTCTTTCAACAAATTCTTAGATTGATCATTGCTGGCCCCAACAGCAACAAAAAGTTGGTAAGGGTGGAAGCCAACAACAACAACCTTTTTCTGGACGTTCGAAGCTTGTTGCTGTTTCAACCACTTCTTTGACTAGTAAAAGGATTTTTAAAAAATTGAAAAAAATTTTCAATCATCAGGTCCAGCCCGTATTCCCCAACAACATTATCACAAGGATTCTAACGTTTCTTCTTCAGGCCTTCTCCACCACCATTATTACCCTCCTTCTTTACTCTCCACAGAATCTGTATTCTCTTCCCCCAGTTTAGCATTAACCAAGCAACATCAATTAGTACAAAAACAACATTTAAATTTATTGCCAAGTCAAAAATCTTCCATCTCCCTAACACCACCAATTAATCGTTCACATCATTCTACTAGTGCTTCGGTTGTTGCTATGGCTGGTTCTTCAAAGGAAAGTTCAAGCATCGATCGGCATGGGAATGATCTTATCCCACCCGAATTAATTGACGCTGACGCAACAACAAATGGAGGGGGTCCTCCTGTACCTGCTGCTGTTGTTCGTCTACAACATCAACAACAAACACACATGGAAAGCTTAGATTCTGGCTCATCGCCACCATCTTCGGTGGGGAAATAAAAGGAATATTTATGTGTATTTTAAAAATTTTTTTAGTCTGCCATGTTACCCCCACCAGTCTTTAGCAGTCGATTTGAAAGAATTCTTCCTCCAGATATTCCCCCTAGCAGCGCTCCTCCTCCTCCACCACCATTGCAGAAAACAACCGGAAATGGGCAAATAGAGGTATAATTTTGTTATATTTTTATAAGAAAAGCATTAAAATGTTGAGAGAATTTATTTTTATATTTTTGGGGAATGAATGGGAATATTGTGAAGGGCAGCATAAATATGGACCTTTAGGCGATGTGTGTATTTATTTTTAGTCCAGAATATCAACTTATACATATAATTGTTTTTAAATTGTTATCCACAAACATTTAAGCTTAAATGCTTATAAATATATAAATTATTTAATCTAAAACATGTTTTACAAACTTAAGTTTTTAATTCAATTTTTATTGGTAAGTACAAACTTGAATGTTTTACAATTATAAACATTATTTGTAAAACATGTTTTATCAAAAATCTTATTAAAAGATGTTTGTAAACAAAGTTTGTAAACATTTCTAAAAACATAAACAATGTTCGTATGAACTTAGTTCGAACTTAGTTCATAAAGACAATTTGTAAAACATCGTTCAAACTTTTTTCATAAACAATATAGGTTTGTAAAACATTGTTCAAACTAATATTATAAACAAACTTAGTTTTTACAAACTTTGTTTATTTATGTTTGTAACCTAAGTTTGTACAAATTTAAAGAAAAACAAACTTGTTCATTTAAGTTTAAGTTGTTCGTCTAAGTTGTTAAAACATGTTTGTAAAACATTTTTTGAAATTAAGTTTGTAAAACATGTTTTTTATTCAATTTCTACAAGAACAACATTTTAAGCTTAACTTATATTTGTAAAACTTTTATTTTGTTCTCAAAATATTTTGTTTGCTCTTCTGGATTATTTTTACACCCAAACTAAAAACATTCATTATTCTTTGTATTTTTCTTTATTGTTAATTCAAAAAAGGACTACTAATGAAGCTTCATTGCCTTTTTTATATAGTATAAATTGTTTTTGCGTCATTACTAAATTCCTCAAATCATTATTAAATTATCAGGGAAAAATATTTTTTGATAGCCCTAAAATTGAATTTTTTTTTATTTTTTATGACACTTTTTCTCATTTTTTTCTTATTTTTGTTTTATTTTTTCACCTACTTAAGTTATTTTTCCTTTTAAAATATTTCCCTAAAAACAATAATAATCTTGAATAATATCAAAAAATATTTGTTTTCTCGGATTAAAAATAAATACTATGGGTTTAGGACGGATTAATGAGACATCTTATAAAAATTTCACAGTGCCAAAAAATAATAAAAAATAAAAACACTTTGTGAAATTGACATCTTTTTTCTTATCCTTTTCTTTAAATATTTTTATAAATTAAAAATATTTTTAATAATATTTTTAAATTGGATGCCGGAAAGTACATAAGTATTTATGAAAATTCAAATTTTCATTTAATAAATTCTTTGAAAAATATTTTTGGTATGTTATGTATGTTAAGTGAGGTGATTAAATAAATTCAAAGAAAAATATTTTAATAGTACAAGCTGTTTTAGGATTTTACTTATTCTCAATTTATTTTTTAATTTTTAATTTTACACTATTTAATATCCCCTCCTCAGGCCTAGCTCTTAATTTATCCGCTCTCATTTTAATTTACTTTCATGTTTTAAGGGCAATAATCATATGTTTTCTTGAGGGCATACCCTTAGGTTTATTTCGAGTTTGTTTTCATGCATTCTCCTTGTCTCTTATGGAATTAACAAAAGTTCTAAAAATATTCTGTAATATTTTTTTCCTTTTTTTATGTTGGAGAACATCCGATTTGTTATATTTATAGCTTTATATCCCAGTGTCACCTTAATCAGCTGTAAATCTTTAAAGTATCCCTTTTAAAGAAAAATTGGTAGTCTCGTGATTCAATATTAGGACCTTAATATCAATACCAAAAAACTTAAGCCTTGAGACTATACCAGGACGGGAAGCTAAACTTTTTTGCTTCAGTTATGTTAAGCTTTAAAATCATGCTTAAACTCGAAAAATCGAGGCGGAGTTATAGTTATGAAGCAAAGCCTATCTACATTTTTACTTTCAATATTAAAATATACAAATTTATTTTTAGACTCCATTAAACATTACTTCTACACTTCAACCCTCTACAGCCGCGTCAACAGGTGCAGGGCACGGACAGTTAAAATCGATGGATTCAGGTATTGGTACGGAAGTGACTACAGCCTCCATGCCCTCCTCAGCTCCAATACATGGAGGGATAGGTCGAACGGCTAGTGATCTGCCTAGAGCTACAGTTCAACAACAACAACAACAAGTTCAGCAACAACATTCAAGTATTGGCCCAACTCGTTCTCAAAGCATGAAGGTGAATTTTATTTTTGAAAAATATTTAGTTCGATATCTAAGGTTGAAAAATAGATTATTTTTGAGTTTTAACTCAAAATTATTTAAACTAGCTTCAATAAAAATTAAAAATTTTACGTGCCATAATTTTATTTTTGCTTAAATTCAAATTTTGATTAAACACTAAAAATAGTAGTCAGACATGGTTGGGAATTCGAAGTCCGATTTCCGACATTTTTTCTTTCTATTTTTGAATTTTTAAAAAATTTCCATTGTTGTCATCCTCTTTGACAGGACACCCTCATTTGTTTAAAAGGATGTGTTTTTTAGAAGGTTAAAATAATAACGATTTTATTACTAATTAGTAGGGTTGGGGTTTTCGAGTCATTTTTTCGGGCCGTGAGTCTTTCTCGGGCCAAAATTCGATGCCCAACTCGATCTTTCGAACTATACAGACCTGGCTCTCAACCCTACTAATAAAATAAAATTTGTTTTCTTTCTTTTTTCGTTTTATTTTAACTTTTAGTCCAAAAGAATAAAATATTTTTTTAAAGAATTTAACGATTCTTTTCAACACACAAAATCCGCTTTCATTTTTTAATTGCTCTTTTTTTGTTTCTTTTTTCTTTTTAAGCTAATTTTTAATTCCTTTAAAGAAGATTTCACATTTTACACTTGCTTTAGAAAAATTTTTTTTTTTAATTCTCGTCTTTCCCTCTCATTTCCTTTGTGGTTTTTAGGGAAAAAAGAAGGGAGAAATATGAGTATATTATTTTTTAAATGTTAGTTTTACGTTTAAATAATAGAAGAGAAGAACAACTTTTTGAAATCGGATAAAAAAAATAAATTATTGGGAAAAAGCCAAAGAAAAAAAATTAAAAAAGCAATAAGCATTCCTTTTCTCATTTAATTTGAGCTATGATGAGAAAGGAAAAAAAATTTTTTTTTGAAAAGTTTTAAAGGTTTTTTAGACGGCTGTCTAGTAATTCATTATAATCTTTACTTATGCTTGATGTATTTTTTCCTTCTTTTAATTTTTTTAAAATTAAATTGTTATGTGTGTATTTCATATGCCACCTTTCTTATCAATATTTCACATTGACATGTTTATTGAGTAGGTTTTTGTTGTTCTTTTTATTATTCTGATATATTATGCATTATTCTGATTTTATTTTGCTTTTTATTATAACATTCTGATATCTTTTTTGATTTCATTCTGATTTTTATTTTAAAATTCTGATTTTTTTCTGATTTTATTTGAAAGATTCTGATTAAATTTATATTTTATTCTGATTTTCTATTACAAAATTCTGATATTTTTTATGATTTTATTCTGATTTTTATTTTAACATTCTGATTATTTCCTGATTTTGTTCTGATTTTTTATTATAGAATTCTGATTTTTACTGATATTATTCTGATTTCATTATTAAAAATTCTGGTCCTTTCTAGTTTTATTCTGATTTTTTCATCATAAAATTCTGATTTTATTCTGGTTTTATTCTGGTTTTTATTATAACATTCTGATATTTTTTTCTGATTTTTTATTCTAATTTTTATTATAAGATTCTGATTTTTTTAATTTTTGCTTAATTCTTATGATACTTTCTGATTTTACTATAACTCTTCTGATTAAATTTTCACTTTATTTATCATTATTTTCTGATGTTATAAAATTCTGATTTTAGCTTTAAAAAATGCCAGAAACAACAACAAAATCAATTAATAATAATATTAAAAATTCTACAAATTTTCTCCCCTTTTTCTTGCCTCATCAAGGAATAATTTTTGAAGCTAATCACAAAACAAAAAATAAAAATAATATTTTAATGATTGCCAATGATTCTTTAAAAATTGGCCGGAATGGTTACACTAGTTTGCGTCGAAAATCTCACAATTTAATTATTCCTCTATCGCCACTGCCCATACATCGTTCAAAATCACAACAGAACGTGGCTGAGCTGTCTAATGGAGCTTTTTCATTTATTGTATTTTTTAAAAAAATTTTTAGAAAATTTTGAAGGGTTTTCTATTCATTTTTGATGTTAAATTCTGATTTAATACTGTCTTTGTTTTATTATTCTGATTTTATTTAATTCTGATTTTATTTAATTATGCTTTTATTTAATTCTGATTTTATCGACTAATTCTGATTTTAATTTTAAAGCGTTTTTGGATTAATTAATAATTCTGAGTTCTGATTTTATGTATTTTATTCTGATTTTAAGGAAATTCTGATTTTATCTTATTCTGATTTTTTTCAGAATTAATTCTGATTTTATTTTATTCTGATTTTTTTCAGAATTAATTCCGATTTTATTTTATTCTGATTTTTTTCAGAATTAATTCTGATTTTATTTTTTGATTTTTTTCAGAATTAATTCTGGTTTTATTTTATTCTGGTTTTAAGAAAATTCTGATTTTATTCGTTTTTAAAAATCAGATTACTCTTTTTGTATTTTAGTTCTTATTAACTCCCTTATCTGTTTCGTTATTTTGGTGTGTATTTTAATGAGGCTTGTTTAATGAATTAACTCAATGATAAAATTATTTTTAAATTAGTCTGAAGAATAATTTATTAAAATATAAAATAATTTTTAAAATTAGGGAGAAGCAGCCAACCAAATTAAAAGAGGAGCAAAAGGTGCTGGTAGTCTAGGTGCTGCTGATTCAGCAGATGAGCAACGGCCAATAACCTCCCAATTAGCCGTTCCATCCGTTTCTTCATTGAAAAGTAGTTCTTCTTCTGCCCAAGAGCTTTCACAGGCAAAAATTTTTTTTTGATTCTATAGAATACGAAAACAAGCATTGAAGGGATTATTAATGGGAGGGGGGGTAATTATTTAAGAGAGGGAAATTATTCGATAATCTAAGAGTAATCTTAAAATTTTAAAGGCATTCCATGAGTTCCCCCATATTGTGCGAGGCACGGAAGCAGTCGCTAGCTCCTCCACTGGTACTAGCAGTGAAGAAGAAGCTAAAAAAATGGTGGAGCTTGTAGAGAGGACGGCGGTAGCTGATGGGGATAGTGATTTGGAGGTGAATACTTACTCATAAATTAATCAGAAGTTTATCAAATTTAAAGGTAGAGACAGAAGTACCTAGCCTTGAATCTCTCGTGGGGTGGGAGGTTCTGAAGCATTTAAAACCTAAAGAGAAAAAGCGACAAGAAGTGATTAACGGCAAGTTTTTAACTTTCTGATTTTTTGGTTATAAAATTAAAAATTCTGATTTGTTATTGTATTTTTATTCGGGTCATTTATATAAAATCAGAATCTTGTATTTTCTTAGGCTACAAAATTCTGATTATATTTAATTTAAAAAATTCTGATTTTTTAATTAAAAAATTCTGGTTTTTTAATACATAAATTCTGGTTTTTAATTCTAAATATTCTGGTTTTATTATTCAAAAAAATACAGAATTCTGATTTTATAAATTAAAAGCTTCAAGTTTTTTAATTCAGAAAATTATTCTGATTTTTAATTCAAAATATTCTGATTTTGTAAATTAAAAGAAAATATAAAATTCTGATTTTACAAGTTCCAAAAAAATAATTTTTCAATTTTCAGAATTATTCCACACAGAAAGAACACATGTACGTAACCTAAAAATTCTTTACAAAATATTCTACCGTCCAATGATCATGCAACGGGTTGCCTCCCCAGAACTAATAAAATTACTTTTTGGGAATTTGGACGAATTGCTTCAAGTACATTCCGAAATGAATTCAAAAATGAGGGCGGCTGTTGAAAATTGGCAGCGTTTTGGGGTGGGGAATGGAGGAGGGGGACTTTATGGTGATATTGGAGAATTAATTGTTAATTTATTTGATGGGGCTATTGGTGAAAAATTGATGCATAATACTGCCTTATTTTGTCGAAATCAGCAACATGCACTTGACACTTTAAGGCAAAGGTAGGGGGAAAATGATAGTAAAAATAAAATTAATTTATTAAATTTTAAAGGTACAGTAAGGCAAAAGACGACCCCTTCTCTCAATTCCTCTCTGAGGTACTCAGACTAGAATTTAAAATTTTTTAAATTTATTTCTATAGGCAGAAAACAACCCTCTTTGCCGCAAACTTCAATTAAAGGATATGATTCCGGTAAGAGAATAAAAGTGTTTTAATTAAATTCTGATTTTTCTGGAAACATTTTAAATTAAATTCTGGTTTTCCGGAAACATTTTTCGTTGTAAATTCTGATTTTTCCGGAAACATTTTATAATTTATAATTCTGATTTTTCTCGAAACACATTTATTTCTGACTTATTGTTCTTTCCGGAAATGTTTTTATTAAATTCTGATACTTCTGAAAACATTTTAAATTAAATTCTGGTTTTTCCGTATATACTATTTCCTTAATTTTTTGTAGATCTTCCGGTCACATTATTTTAATTTCTATAGGTAGAGATGCAAAGATTAGTTAAATATCCCCTCCTTCTGGAAACTATAGCAAAATATACAAGAGAAGGTAGTGAAGAATTACAACATTTATTACATGGAATTGAACGGGCAAAACGAATTCTTTCTGTTGTAAATAGTGATAAAAGAAATGCTGAAAATGAAAAAAGAATGGAGGAGCTTCAACAAAGATTAGATTTTACTGGATGTGAAAAGAGCTTTTTTCAACGTTTTGACTTTAGAGCGTATGTTTTTATTTTTTAATATTTTAACTTCTGATTTTTTCTAACCTAAATGTTTTTATAAACTACATATACATATGTACCTATGTATGTATATTTCTTCTAAAATTCTGATTTCTCCGAAAATGTTTTCATAAAATTCTGATTTTTTCGGAAATGTTTGTATAAAATTCTGTTTTTTCCGATAATGTTTTTATAAAATTCCGAGTCTCCCGGAAATGTTTTCTAAAATTCTGATTTTTCCGGAAATGTTTGTATAAAATTCTGATTTTTCCGGAAATGTTTGTATAAAATTCTGATTTTTCCGGAAATGTTTGTATAAAATTCTGATTTTTCCGGAAATGTTTTTCTAAAATTCTGATTTTTCGGAAATGTTTTTCTAAAATTCTGATTTATCCGGAATGTTTTGATAAAATTCTGATTTTTCCGGAAATGTTTTTATAAAATTTTGATGTTTCCGATAATGTTTTTCTAAAATTCTGATTTTTCCGGAATGTTTTTCTAAAATTCTGATGTTTCACTAAGGAAACTTAATATTCTGCTATCAAATATTTTATTTCTTATAAAATGTTTCACAAACATTTAATTAATATTTTAGTCACAAACTTATTTATGATGGTCACTTACAATGGCGTCAAGCACGCGGCAAAACATTAGATTTACATGTTGTACTATTAGAACATTTACTTGTTTTCCTAACAAAATTGGGTTCTGATTCTGGAAGTGCTTCAACCCCCCAAAAATTACAATTAAAAATTCATGAAGTAAAATTCCCTTAAAAATTTTTTGAAAAATAAAATTTAAATTTAAGGCCGGTTGTATTCCTATAATGAGACTATCGGCAGTTGAGGTAGAAGAAAAGCCTGGGGATAAACGTTCTTTCAATTTGCTTTATAAAAGTGATCTGAGGGTGTTTGAGTTAGTTGCGCAAACAGCTACGGAGAGGAAAACGTTAGAAAAATTTCACCTAAAAATTAAAAAAATTTTTTTTCTAGTTGGTTCCGGTTAATCGAAAATCAAGTTTCTGTTACCCGTTCCTCCCCCATTCCAACAGATTTTGATAATATTCTTGATGGGATTTTAACTAGTGGAGTACAGCAACAACAAAATAGGGCAACTCCACCTCCATTATTAGCTCAGAGAGCCAATGTTGTTGATTCTGGGTTACAACATCAAGTAGCTAAAGTTGAACATGTACATGTTTTGACACATCCAGCACTTGTTAATGCTGTTAGTTTTTCTTAAAAATTTTATAAATGAGAAAACTAAAAACTCGGACTTTATTACCTCAATTATTTGTACTAGAGACCGAACTGGGAGGGTCGTACGAGAATCGAGTTCGTTTCGTTCTAATCGAGTTAGTTCGAGATCTCGTTTCTATCAATTTTTAAAATATACATCGAAACAATAGCTTTGCTGTTTAAGCGATGCCCCCAACAAGGGTGTGCCGAAAGTGATTTTAAAAAGCGAACGGCGAATGACGAAAGTCCAAAAAAGGCGAAAATCGGCGAAAGACGAAAGGCGAAACTCGCACACCCTTGGCCCCCAACCAGGGCTGTGCGTCATGGCGTTTGGCGTTTGGCGTTTTGCGTTTTGGCGTTAATTTTGGCCGATTTTTGGCGTTTTGCGTTTGGCGTGATTTTCCGATTTTGGCGCGCCAAACGCCAAAAATATACACCCCTAATGATGGAATTTTTTTAAAATAAATGGAGAAAGGGATGATCGAAAAAGGAAATTTTTCTGCGTACAGTCATCCAAAATTCTCAAAATTTTTGCCTGCGGCGCATAAAAAATGAAGAAATCTACTGCTTGGACTTCCAAAATTTTCAAAATTTTCGCCTGCGGCGCTTAAAGGAGGAATTCTCAAAAATTTCGCTCCGGCGGTAAAAAAGGATGAATTCTGGCTTCTGGGAATCTTGAAAATTCAAAAAATTTCGCCTGCGGCGCTAAAATGAGATGAACAGTGGTTTTTAAGTCTTTATAGACACTAAAAATTTTGGCGTTTGGCGTTTGGCGTTTTGCGTTTTGGCGTTAATTTTGGCCGATTTTTGGCGTTTTGCGTTTGGCGTGATTTTCCGATTTTGGCGCGCCAAACGCCAAAAATATACACCCCTAATGATGGAATTTTTTTAAAATAAATGGAGAAAGGGATGATCGAAAAAGGAAATTTTTCTGCGTACAGTCATCCAAAATTCTCAAAATTTTTGCCTGCGGCGCATAAAAAATGAAGAAATCTACTGCTTGGACTTCCAAAATTTTCAAAATTTTCGCCTGCGGCGCTTAAAGGAGGAATTCTCAAAAATTTCGCTCCGGCGGTAAAAAAGGATGAATTCTGGCTTCTGGGAATCTTGAAAATTCAAAAAATTTCGCCTGCGGCGCTAAAATGAGATGAACAGTGGTTTTTAAGTCTTTATAGACACTAAAAATTTTGGCGTTTGGCGTTTGGCGTTTGGCGTTTTGGCGTTGATTTTGGCCGATTTTTGGCGTTTGGCGTTTGGCGTGTTTTTAAAATTTAAAAAATTGGCGTTTGGCGTTTGGCGCGCCACGCGAAAATTTTGGCGCACAGCCCTGCCCCCAACTCTATTCATAAGATACAATTTTTCAACCAAAAGGGGATACCTATAGTAGGATCCGGCTTTATTTTTGTATTTTTAAAGAATGAGATTGTAATTCAACAACCCAAAATTATGGAAAATGCTCAACCTATAATGTCTGTAGCTGATCGGCTTCGCAAAAACGATAAAATAATTATTAGTGCTTTAGCAGAAAAACACCAAATATTGTCTGAAATTTTGTTAGAAGAGGGGGATAAAGTAGATTATTAAATAATAATTAATAAAAAAATTTTCGAAAATTTATTTTTAATTTTCCAAAAAATTTCAAAAAATTTCAAAATTTTCAAAAATTTTTAAAAAATTTTTCAAATTTTTCAGAAATTCTGTTTTTAAAAATTTTTCAAAAAATTTTCAAAAATTTTTTTTTAATTTTTCAAAAAATTTTCAAAAATTTTTTTTTCAATTTTTCAGAAATTTTCAGAAAAATTTTCAAAAAATTTTTTTTTAATTTTTCTAAAAAATTTTCAAAAAATTTTTTTTTCAATTTTTCAGAAATTTTCAGAAAAATTTCTTTTCAGAGAAATTTCAGAAAAATTTTTTTCAAATTTTTTCCAAAAAATTTTTTTTCAGTCTACCGCAAATCCAAAAGAATTGGAACGTATAACAGAATTAATGACTGGACTTGCTGTTGCAGAATTAAAACAAAGAAATTCGAAAGAATTGGCCATGTCTGCAATAGTACATGGAAATAGGCTTTTGGATTGTATAAATCAAGGAATGAATACTGTAAATAAAACGGAAGAGAAGGTGGATGAAACTGAACGGAATCTTCCCTCAGTACCTTGCTATAGACTAACTGCTATAGCTGCCCCTTTAATGAATCATTTAAAGGTGTGTTAAAATTCTGTTATAAATTAAATTAAATATTCCGAAAACATTTTTCAGATTTTTCCGGAAATGTTTCTCTGAAAATATTTTTAATTTTCCGGAAATGTTTTTCCGGAAATATTAATTAAATTCTGATTCTCCCGGAAATATTTTCCGGAAAAAGTCTTTCCGGTAGGAATGTTTAATATTCTTGAATTTTAACTAAATTCTGATTTTTCCGGAAATGTCATCTAAATTTTTCCGGAAACATTCTTCTGTTATCAATTAAAATATTAAATTCTGATTTTTCCGGAAATATTAATTAAATTCTGATTCTTCTGGGAATATTTTCCGGAAGAAATCTTTCCGGTAAAGAGGTTAATATTCTTGAATTTTAATTAAATTCTGATTTTTTCCGGAAAAATCGTTTATTTTCCTTAATTATTTAATTCTGACTTTTCCGGAAATGTCATCTAAATTTTTCCGGAAACATTTTTTTGGTATCAATTAAAATATTAAATTCTGATTTGTCCAGAAATATCTCTCAGGAAATATATACTTAATTTTCCGGAAATATTAATTAAATTCTGATTTTCCCGGGAATATTTGCCGGAAAAAGTCTTTCAGGCAACCTAAATTCTGATTTTTTCTGGAAAATTGTTAATTTTCTTTATACTACCTATATTTAATTCTGATTTTTCCGGAAGCATTTTTCTGGTATCAATTAAAATATTAAATTCTGATTTTTCCGGAAATATTTTTCCTGAATGTTTATTAATTATTCTGATTTTTTCTCCTTCATTTATTTATTATCTTTTCAGGCATTGCTTCAAGTTATTCAAGACCAGTCAACTGAAATTCAAAGATTAAAAGTGAATTCCATTATTTTATTTTTTTGAACTTAATTTTTTTTATTTCTCAGGAGACAGAACAAAATACTTCCCGTAAAACTGCCAGTGAAGAAACACTAGTAAAATCTGATGGTTGTGGTGGTCAGAGTCCTGTTAGTAGTAGATCTGTTGCTGCCCCCAGAAGTACTCCCCATCTAACGGCTTTGAGGGCTACACCTTCCAATTGCTCATCTTCTTCTTCGCCTACATCAGTGCCATTTGAATAAATAAAAATTTTTTCCAATTTTTTTTTCAATTTTTTTTCATGCAATATTCCAATAATCCCATTAAATACCATATTTTCTCTATAGAGCGGCCCTTTGAGGCGGGATTGAAAAATAGAGCGGCCGACCCCTCTATTAGAGAAAATACGGTATGTACCTAAAGGTCAACTCCCTAAAAGGAAACTCCAAATATTAGGGCTATAAACGTGACATAAGATAAAGAATGCGTTGTGTTGAATTTTCGTCTTCTCTCCCTTAATCCAATTAAAAAAACCAAGAAATTCATAAATAACCCTTCTTAATACTATCTAATCTCGTGAAGCATATAGCTATTTAATTCATATTACTGTGCTGTAGGCGGTGTAGTTTAATAGATGACACCTCAGTCCGGTCTAATGAAGATGCTGGTTCGCTTCAACAGCCGAATAACCTTTTGCACTAGCTAAAGGAGAGAAATAGCTATAGCCCCAGCTGATTTACTGTCTTTTGGAGCTGACTATTTGGAGTTGACCTTTAAGGCCATTTGATCTTTCTTGACCTTCTGGCTTTGACCTACGAGGTTGATCCTATACCTATTTAATTTAATTATTCTCTTATTTTTTTGTTTGTCTAATCAGCACTTCAATATTGATATTTTTTAATTTAAAAATAATTTCCTCAAAATTCTATATAATTAATTAATTTTAGTCATTCCTGTGCCGGTGTATTTTCTCCCTGATGGATTTATATTTACCTTTTTAATTAAAGCATTTTCTTCAATTTAATTAAAAACGATTTTAGCTTCATACCCATTTTTAATTTTATTTTTTTGCAAAGCTTTATTTTTCTCATATTTTGTGTGTATAAAATTTTTATCTATCATTTTGTGTCTCCAAAAGGGCCCTTCATTCTCCCAATTTGTAAGCATGTTAATCACTCCTAGAGGCCCAGGAACACTTTTTAGTTCGAAGGTTGTATCTAGATTCAATATTGGGAGGGAGTTCCACTTAGAACCAGTGGTTGGAAGCTAATACCAAAATTCGTACTCGTACCTGTGTACAAATACGAGGAAGAGGTAAAAAAGGCCTGTACGGGATTACGATAACGAGAAATTTCAAAATTCCAACCACTGCTTAGAACACTTCCCATACCCAGTGGCTAACTAAATTTTAAAAATATCTCAAGTTGAAGTACTCCAACTTTTCTATTTTCAAGATAGTTCAAAGACTGTCTGATATACATATATCAGATGAGAGCTGTCTTAAATTGATTATGTAATCTTTAAATTTAATAAAAAAGACTCCTAAAAATTCTCTCACCTTCTATGAAAGTGCAGCTATTTTTTAAAAGTTTACACATCTGTTGAGAGACTTGCGAAATTATTTTTTGAGTAAAGAAATGCCCAAATAAGGCATTCATTCAATTTTAAATTTAAATTAAAAATGGCTTTTGCTCTGTTAGCTATTTTTCTATTAATTTTAATTATAAATTCTTTACAGCAACAATTTGTTGCTTCTCCTCAACAACAACCTCCTCAATTTGTAGCTGATCCTTCTAGTAACCAAGACCCTCCTTACGGCCAATTTGTAGCAGATCCTTCTAATAACCAAGACCCTCCTTATGGCCAATATGTAGCAGATCCTTCTAATAACCCAACTGCTGGCCAACAATTTGTAGAAAATCCTTCGTATGGACAAAATTATCAACAACAACCTTTTATGGGAAAAACACAATATCAACAGCAGCAACCAGAAGTACAACAACCTGCATATAACGGGTGGGATACAGCTATGCAGCAACAGGTGAATGAATTTTCCAAAGAAAAACTCTGAATGAACAAATCCGAACAAAAATCTGAACTTATGGAAAAATCTGATACTTTCAGTCTTACCTATGCCATAACATAAGTGAATGAGACATTCACAGTGGCATTAACAAATTTTGATAGGAGAGAGTGTAGCAACCCCTTGGGCACCAATTTTTAAATTTGGATAACACCTAGTGAAGCTAATCAATTTTAAGCCAATTTAAGGGCCACTTTGCTTAACTATGCCCTTATCAGCCCAATGATACCTAAGCAAGATCCATCTATAATTATATTTTTTCTAGCCTTATAATCCGCCTTCTGATGATGGCTATAACAATCAGGGAGTTCAGCCTAACAATGATGCTCAACAGCCAGGTACAGCAGTGTCTCCTCAACAAAATTTAAACACCCCAAATAATTATCAACCAAATACAAATCCTAATAAGGCAACTGAAAACGCTAATAAACAGGATTCACAACTAATTAATAGTGAGGATATTTTTTAAGTTAAGTCAGAAATTTATATTTTCAGATCAATTTAATAAAGTTCCAAAAAACGACAAATCTCCCCCAAAAGTTAATTTAAATAGCTTTAACTTTAACAATAATGATAAAAATCCTCCTCCATCAATTCCTGAAGGAGAAGACGTTAATGCAAACTTTGTTAATTTTGGAGGAGGAAGTTCTGGTTCCTCAATACCCTTGCCTATGGCTGGAAATGATGGTCTTTTGAAAGGAATTGTTGCCCAGCTACTTTTGGGGAATGCTGGTAATATGCCACCCTCGAGTAATCAACAAGAACCCTCACAAAAGGTTCCCCAGCAACTTCAAAATCAGTTGGGGCAACAGCCACCAATTCAGCAAGAAGTGCCACAGCAACAACCTCCAAACCAACAATTAGGTCAGCAACCACAATTCCAACAACCACAACAAATACAGCCACAGATGTACCAACCACAACAGCAAGCCCAACAGCAAGTACCACAACAACTACCACAGCAGTACAACCCAGAACAATCATTACTACAGCAACAACAACCACAAGGGGTTCCACAGCAATACCAACCACAAACAGCGCAGCGGTATTCATTCCAGCAACCACCACAAGTTCAACAAGAGGTCCCACATCAACAGTCTGGACAATAACCACTTTTCATACTATACTAAACACCACACTTATTAACACCACAATAACCACTGTGTCTACCAAACGTCTACCAAACTCTACCAAACTGTCTACCAAACTGTGTCTACCAAACCAACTACCGTATACGGTAATTATAAAAATGGGAATTTTTTCATATGGTCATTTTGACCAAAATTGGCTTATAATTTATAATATAATTTCTACATTATTTTCTCTTTTTATTATTACCACACGTATTAATTAAATAAAAATTTTGTTGCTTAATTAGATTTAAACCAGAAATTAATTTTTTTCTGTAGCCCATTTACGTACTAATTGCATATTTGTTATGTTAAATAAATAAGGAAACAAAATCAAAAAAAAATTTTTTGCAATAATTAATTAAGAATTGTATAACGTCAGCAATTTAATTTTACTTTTAATTTTGTTTTTTGTTTTTAATTATATGTATGTAGACTGAATATTTTTTTAAATTCCCTAATTTTATAAAGACGGGTTCATTAAAAAGTCAACTTCATTTATCTATAGGGAAGGCTTTTATGTACTATTTTAAAAAGCGAAAGATATGTAAGAAAGGATGGAATTTGGTGGGAGATGAAAGGCGGAAATGAGCTACTTCCTGTGATCCCCTCTACCCTTAAGGATAAGCCAGGTTTATATTAGAAATCAGACCGAATCAAGATCTCGATCGAAAATTTCGGTTATCGATAGGGTTGGAGAGAGAGAGATTTATATCGGGCCGGCTCGATCGAGTCTTTTTCAGGCCAAAATTCAATGCCCGATCGATCTTGATGAGCGGACCGATCCCCAACCTGAGTTATCAATATCGAGAATTCTCTCTCGATTCTCGTACTCCCAGTCCGGTCTCTAGTTTATATCCATCATGGTCTCCAAACAGTCTCGTTTGTTTTAAAAGTAGTTCGGATTAACCAGAAAAATTTTATTCTTAAGTTTAAAGTACATAAAATAAAACAAATAAAATATTATTATTAATCTGTAATGACTCCCAACTTCCCAAAGGCGTCATTAGCCAGTCGGTGGTCTTTTATCAGGAAGCTATTACATCCCTAGAGCCCTATCTTCGAATTATTATGTTCAGATTTGTGCTAGTTGCTCATAAAATTTATTTTTTAATTTTTTCCAAATTCTTTGCTAAAATTGAAAAAAAAATATTTAATTTATTTTCCCATTCAAAAATATAATTTTTCTTTTTTTTTGCCACACCTGTCGTATAATATTTTTTTAAATTCTTATTTTTTGTTAATTTGAAGGCATATCAATCATAGTACATATAATTTTCAAGCATTTTCGTTTTTCAAAAAATTATTAGGCTTATTAGAAAATATTATTTTATCACCCTTCTTTATTTCTTGGTTTCAAAGTTTACTTGGGATTCCGTAAGGATATGTCTCGTTTTTGTAGGGTTGTTGGTTTCACCAGATTCTTCGGCTAACCAAAAAGAATCGAAAATCTTCGGCTCTTGAGACCTTCGTTGTTTATGAAATTTCAAGTCCAACTACATAATTTTTCTGGTTTTCTAAATTCTGGTTTCTTGGCTTTTCTAGTTTTCAGTCCAAATTTTAATTTGGCCAGCCAACTTCAATACAAAAAAATCGTTCAAAAATGGGTTTTCTAGGCTTGATTATCCAATTAATCTGAAATTTTTATAGGAGATTATCAAACAGTATTGGACAATATATTTATTTATTTTTTTATATTTATTTTTGAGTCGCTATATTAATTTTGAGTTTTTTCTCAAAAATGAAAAAATTAGGTGGAGTTATTATTATAATTATATAGTTAAATTATTTAATATAATTATATATACACTCAATCTTCCAAATCTGGGTTTGGACCAACCAGACCAACTGCTCCTAGAACACAAAATATAAAAATTCCTCACAGACCCCAAACCCAGCTTTGAAAGATAAGGTAAAACAGATCTTTTTAAGGAACGAATTTGACCTGCCAAATTTATTTTGCCTAGAAATTGAATTTTCCAGCATCATTTCAACCTCCCTTTTCGTCCTCATTATATATTAAATTCGTTCTTTAAAGATATAAATTAGACTGGCTTCTTTTTATTTTTTTTTTATTTTTTCCCGACAAACGTTTTACCGCTTTCTTTTATTTTCCAAATTAATCCCCCCTTTTTTTGTTTTCAAGCTTTAGAAAAGCTACATATGTACATATTTTATTATATAAATAACAGTCTATTACAATTAATTGGTGTCCTGGAATTTTTTTTTTATTATTTTTAGAGGGAGAATATTTCCTTGTCCTTCTCTTAAAAAATAAAGAAAAAAAATTTTTTTTGGCAGGAAAAAATTTTTTTCTAACGGCAAAAATGCCCAAAATGCCCAATAACGCTTATATTGCAATTTGTGATGAACTACACTTTAATAAAAAATAAATAATGCTTGAATAAACAAGGAATAATTAATGTGCTCAAAAGGCGCGTTTTGTGTTTGGCTTTTTCTCATAAAGTTTTATTTATTATGTTTCAAATAAATTAATACTCCCTATATGAAAATTAGTTTATTATTATAATGGTATGAAAATAAACTTGGAAAAATAAACCTTGAAAAATAAAACTTGAAAATAAAACTTGAAATTCTGGAAAAAATAAACTTGGAAAATCAACCTTAAAACTAAACCTAAAAAGAAATAAACTTAAAAATAAACTTGAAAGAAGTAAACCTAAAAAATAAACCTGTAAATAAACTTGAGACAACCTGAAAATACCCATAATAATAAACTTTAAAACAAACCTGAAAATACGCCTAAAAATAAACTTGAAAAGAGAACTTTAAAATAAATAAACTTGGAATTAAAAACAAACTTTTTAATAAACTTAAGTTTGAAAATAAACTTGAAAAAAATAAACTTTAATTATTTTTACATATTAATATTTATCCACGTCATTTTACCAACCTTTTTTCTCTTAATTTTCTCTCTTTTAATTTAAGCAACTTTATTCTCTTCTACTCTTTTACTGACATTAGCTTGTCATCAGCAAACAAAATATAAATTTTTTTAGTCAAGAGAGGAAGTAAAAATAATATTTTTATGTAAATATTTATTTATTTTACACGTCTCATTTAAAAAGAATTATTTAAATATTTAATGAAATTTAGCCTTACTAATTAAAGAGAGAATGTCTGTCTCCCTTTTTTGGACTTTTCTTTTGACTTTACAATTTTTGAGGCAATTTTGCATAATTAAATAACCTTTAATTTCTTCAAAAAGTCCATAGCCTGTTACTTAATTTTATCATATTTTATTTTTAAATTTATTTGTAAATTTTAAAAATTCAATAAATTATTTATTTTCTCTTCGTAAAAATTAATTTTCTTTTTTAAATTATCCACAAAAATATTTTTAATAATTTTTTTCAAATAATCCTCTACCTATTTCTGACTATTTTTAAATAAATAAGCATTAAATTTCCAACATTTCTCTCTCAACTTTATTTAAATACAAATTTGCTTGAAAGACTTGTTAAACTTAAATAAGTTGGTAATTTCTTTAAATAGAAATTTTAAAATAAACTTTTTTTTCTCCCTTTTGTTTTTGACTACCTATTTTTAGAAACTTTAAATATACTAGGAACTAAATTTTACCAACTTTGTTTTTCTACCTACTTTATTCCAACCTTTTTCTTCCCAACTTTATTCCAGCTTTTTTACAACTTTGTTACAACCTTTCTCCTTATTCCCAACTTATTCTCCAACCTTTTATTATACCAACTTATTTTCCAACTTTTTTTTTCAACCTTTTTAACCTTATTTTTTCCAACTTTATTAGAGCCTGTTACAACCTTTTTACAACCATTTTCTCCAACTTTTTCTTACAACTTATTTTCAAACTTATTTTCCAGCATTATTCCAACTTTGTTACAACCTTTCTCCTT